GCCTACCCGGCCCGTCCCGCGGCCCCGCGCCTCGAGCAGAGGACGAAGCAGCCTCGGCGGCGGCTGCAGACGAGGCGGGGCTCGGGCGGCGAGCGCGCCCCGCTCCTGTGCGGCCACAGCCCCTCGTCCCGCGCTTGGCCTGCACGCGCACACGCGTGCGCCTCAGCACGTGCGCACAGGTACCGGGCCCAGCGCCCCAACGGCCGCGCTCTTCCCCGAGAACAGGCCGTTTGTTTTATTCCCAGTAAAATATGGGAAAAGATGGACTCAGGCCAGTTTTCCTTTCCCCTTGGAAACTCTCCTGGCTAGTTTAGTGGATTTGTGGGTGGCTAAGGAGAGGTTCTCCGTCCCTTCCCTGAGCAGCAAGTGCATCCTTCTGTGCGGCCTTCCCGCCTCCAGCCTGCCAAGCCTCGCTGCTACCGAGAGCTACCACACTTACTGCTAAGGCCACGTCCTGTGAGTATCCACTGTAGTAACACAGTGTTTTTGAATCCCACTATTAAGGAATCCTCCCTACTGCAAATAATGTACTATAGGAGCAATAATGTCAATTATAGGAGCACAGCACCCCCTTTCACTATTTTTCCCCAGCAAATCTTGTAGCTGGGCAGTGGTTAATGAGCCTTTTCCTGTGGGCAGCAATACCCTCAGACATGATGACCAAACCCTGGGTTAGGTTGCAACCAGCACCCATCGTAGTTCTTGGCTTACCTGAATTCTTAAAGAAAAAGGTGATGGTTAAGCAAAGTATGATTATTTTTGTTCTGAATAGGAAGAATCATGTTATTAATATTAGCTTTTTCCCCTACCTTTGCCTTCAGTACAAAATAGGACCAAGACACTTGATGTATTTTTTGAACATACAGAAGAAGCCTGTTCAATAGTCGAAACTTGAAAGGTAGTTGATATGAGAACCAGAACCGTAATCAGTTCCACAATCTATGTGGTTATTACAAAGCCTCCTGTGGTTAAACTTTCGTTTTGCAAACACACGCTAACTTTTACCTAAAAAAAAAAAGCATGGCCTACCAGTCCTCTATACTAGAGAAACTAATTCAGCTTTGTTTCTAATGGATTTTTTTCCCACCCCTCTCCTCACCAGAGGTTACTCCTCACCACAGGTTACTCTCCCGCCTGTCCTCGCAGGGCTCATTGCAGCCACGCTCTGACCTGTCCCCATCTCTTCGCCTGCAGGGCTCCACAGCTGCTTCCCAGCCACGTGCACAACCCACCTCGGTCCTGGCTGCCACCCCAAAGCATCCATGCTGCTCCCTGCCCTCATCAGGGTTTCTTTTACTCTCTCTGTTCGTTACTTTTCAAGACAACTTCAAGACTTCATTGACTTTGACACTCATTCCTCCATCAAGCCGGAGTGAAATATCCATAGGTTCAAATGAGAGGGCTGACAGCAAGCACAGCAATCCCCACCATAACAAGGTCACCTAGGCCTCACTGCCTTGGGAAACAAGAACAAAACTGTCCAAAGGAACCGTAAGAGATCACCTTTGGATCCATCCTGTGCTCCCAGGCAGAACCTGCTGTGCCTTCCTCCTGATAGGTGTTTGTCTAAACAGCTCATAAAAGCCTGCTCTGGTAGAAAGTCGGTAACTTTCCTCTTAAGCCTATTCTGTTGTTTTTCTGTCGTCCCTTTTGTATTTGTAATTCTGGAACTGGACACAAGCTCCAGCTGAGACCTTTCTCAGTGCTGAGCAACTCACAGGACTCTACAGGGATACTGTTAAATTTGCAGTTATATGACCTGATAACCACTAACAGGTTCAACAGTCAGTTTACAACAGTAAGAAGAAAAGAGTAAAAAGAAAAATATCTGAATAGAGGAGATGATACAAAAAATTGTGAAGCCCATCCTCCAAAAACTTAGTATTTTGTTGTTGATAGTTCTTGTCAGAATACATCCAATCAAATGAAAATCCCTTTTACAAACAATGCTTTTGTAAGCACTGCTCAGCTTACAAAACATTGCACTAGGACATTTACTGTTTCTGTCTTACAAATCAGTAAATTAGTGCAGAGAGCTGATTTATCAAAGTATGTTGAGACTATAAGACATATTACTTCTTTAAGCTTTAGATATTCTCTATTCTCTTTCTTAAAAGTACTTTGATTTCATACTTAAGAGGGCTAAACCTGTTCGCACTGTTTGTTAGTCGCTACAGTATTTTACAAAGCTCATGTTATTGTAATATGATATCTATAAAGTTAATGGCTAATGGTTAAAGTTAAATTTAGAACATAATCTTCCCAAACATACACTTATTTTGAGACTTGCTTATAAGAAGTACCTGAAGGTAATATAGTATGCCAATTAGAAATTAGCATTTGCACAAATTACAAAAGATAATCTAAAATAATCATCAAAAGATTAAACATCATTTTGGGTTACACTTAAGACCTGCATATATAGACTGTTGAATGCAGCCTTCATTGTAAGGGTGTACAGAGATTTTCTGAAATATGTACGATATCCTACTTTTAAATGGTAAAATCTTATAAATATACAGTATTTCATACTCCATAATTCCATCGATAAATACTTCGCATGACAGAGAGCATTTTTTTTTTTTCCCCAAGGGCCTACTTCTATTTTTACCACTTGGGCAATTCCCTCAAATTCAGTTTCCACTACAAAAGGGAACAAACAACCTTCAAAATGCAAAAGCTGAAGTTTCAAAAGGCAATAAGTAGAATCCCAAACTTAGCATATAAAATAATATTTCTTCCTAAAGCTGCTACTAGGCTGGTTGGATTTGACAGTCCTGATGATCCAGTTGACTGCACTGGATGTACTCATAGAAAATGTATGTTATAGTCTAATATTAATTATAGTGTAGCTATGTACTAAGTCTTCAAGAATTTACAAGACTACTTGAAAAAATCAGACTGAATCTTTATATTTAATAATTATCACAATCAACTAATATAACTGATCTCAGTTATTTTTTTAAGAAATATTTTGCTTTACTGTTTTTGTCTGAATGTCACACATGTGACTTAGTTATGACTTTTTCAGGACTTCCAAAAAGCTTAATTTGAAAGAAGAGGCTGAAGACAATTTTTATAAAAAGATTAAGGGGAGATGGAAGATTTTCAGTTTAGCAATAGACAACATGTTAGACAAAAAGTTCATCCTAGAGTGAAGAAAGTTGCTTTGGGCAGAATGGTGCTTTGTTATATTTTAATTCACACACTAATGTATTTTACAGGTTTCATGTGATACCAGATCAATGAACGTTTCAGAAGCACCGTATAGCTTATTTTGGACTCACCTTCTTCCTCAGTTTCATCCCTTCTGATATCTAGGCCTCTGTCTTGAGATATCCTGGATATCCTAGAATATTGAAATCAGAGGATTAGGTTGCACATATTGTTTATACACCACTTACATAAAAATATATATATAATCAATTGATTTCAGGCTATATAGCAATTCCGCGAGTTCTTGGAGCTCCACAGAAATACTGATGGTCACCATATCTCCAGACAATTCTTACCTTACAGTTTTAGGAGGAAAGTAAGTGGCTGTCTGACAAAGTAGATAAAATAATCCATCTAAATTCTGTTGTGGTACAACAAAAAAATGATTTTCAAGACAGAACCATTAGCAACATGAAGAGTCACACAAGCAGTGTCCTCCTGAGGATCAGTACAGATCCTGGCAGAGGCTTAAGACTACCAAGTTATTTCATAAGAGCCCATAACGAGTTGTTAGATGTAATAGAATTCCAGTCAGCACTGACCTGATTTGGATTCCAACTGCCTAAATAAATTTCCAAGCCTTTAAAAACCAAATCTCCCAATTCTTACATATGTAAATATCCAGTCTTCTTTGACTCCACCTGAGTCAAGAATGAAACGTATAGTTACTTAGCATTTTAGATGCTATAATATTGGAGAATTTCTGTGGATATGTGTAACACACTTGATAAAATATCAAATTTTAACTATTTGGCCATTCAATAAATAAATTACAATATCATAAACTGATTTGAAAGTTATGAGAAATATGTATAAGAACTTGTGTTCATTTTGAAACTTGAATGGTTGTAGGGTTGAATAGGCAAACAAAAGAACTTAGAGAGTTTGGTTTTGGCAAGGGTTTTGGGAGGTTATGCCTGGCCAGAGCAAACTCATCTTACACCATGCTCTGAAGAAACATATTGCTGGGCCCTGTCAGGCAATGAGAGAAAGTGCCAAGTAATAAATCAATTACATAAAGCTTTTTTTTTTTTTTTTTTTTTTTTTTTTAAACCAGGGACTACTACCACATTTCAATTAGTATGATAGATAATCTCTATACACATTTAATGATACAATAACTAGAGCCTCAATTTTCTATAAAGATTTCTGAATCAAGCTCAATGCCTTTAATCCAGAAAAAACAACCAACATCATATGCAAACACGTATAACTGGCACAACTAAACAAGCAGGAAGACACTTGCCTTTTCAAGAAATTTTTCTAGAGGTATTATTCTGGCATCATAACCGGAACATTAAAAGAAAAAAAAAAAAAAAAAAAAAAAAAAAAAAGAGAGAGAGAGAGAGATCACTTTCCTTCCTTTCAATCCCCTTTACTCATTTTGTTAAATACCTGAGACAGGCTGCTGGTCAAGTTTGACGATCAGAAAACACACATTAATCCAATTTTCTGCATTTGCAACCAGTCCATTGAGGTGCACGATTGACCCCTCGTTCATATCCTGCCACGGCAGCCAGTTCCCTCTGTTCCAGGTCTCCCAGTACTCCTGATTGTTTTCACTGTATCTTCTCTTTAGCCTTCACTTCTCCACTCTACCCAGGCCTGTGACTGAGCCACTAATATTTGCCAGCATATCAGCATTTTGAGAACACCTCCAAAGAAAATTATTATGCTTTCACTGATTTTTTCCCGCATTGTTCTTTTTCTAGACACGTAAAATTGAGAAAACATCTTTTCGTTTTCTGCATGAATCAGTAAGAACGTGTGCCCTACTGCGGGAAGTTTGGACCAGCAAGCAAGGTTTGTGTGCAGCCTTAAATGAAAGGAGATTAGTGGGAGGTTTGATGTTTTTTCTCTTGGTAGTAAATTTTTTTCAGCAGAGTAATGGTGATCAGCAAGACATGAATGCAGCAAGGTCATACTGTGCAAAAAAAGTCCTCATCTATCTGTTTAAGATGTATTTAAAAATCACTATCATTGCCACAGATGTGTTCACTGGAAACATCTGCAAATCATACACCAGATAAATATAACACCTCACTGAAAAACAACTAAATAAGGGTACTTATTATCAGGTATCTTTTGCCATGCAACATTCCTTTTAATTTTGCTGCAAGTTCTGCCCGAGCAGACACCACAGAGAGTGTAATGAGGATTATAAAATTGAAGGGGGTGCCTCTCACTGAAGCAGCACTTGGCCACAAAGAAATCTGATTACGTGCATTATCCCTGACACTTCTGATTTACCAGAGAAGAGGGAAAATCACAAAAGACAACATTCTGTTTTTCACACCTGAGTACAGAGAAAGCCTGAGGCATTATAATGTTCTTTGATACATCCATCTATTCTATATTGCAAAAGTCTTTTTTCATGCTACTGTAACATCATTTACCACTGCAGTACCTCTTGTTTCCAGCCTTCCCTTAGGCTGCCAGTGCTGCAGAGGAAAGCTTTGAGTCACAGGCTTCCTTTTATTCAATGAGGTCATTATAACAGTGTTATCCCTGGTCTCAAGAGAAATATTTTTGAAAACACAGTCTGGTTTGCAACAAGATAATTCTAATAATGTAATATGACAAGAATAGGTTAGCCATCCCATTTGGTATGATGATACTGAGCATCAATAATGTCATTATAATTTCCCCTGTTCAGAACTCCTTTTTTTATTCCTGTTATTCCTGTTTTTTTTTCTGGTTTGGTTTTTGTCTCAGCTGTGTGTAGAGAACAGCTCCTTGACTAAAGTAGAAGACTCCTTTCTTTAATGATTTGACTTAATTCATAAAAGATTAAGTGCATACACCAAAGTAATCCTAAAATTAAATATTAAATCTCTTAGGCAGTTATAAACAAACTTGTATTTGTTTTATTTTGCCCATTTGCTTTAAATTAAATACTCTTGGGAAGATCAAGCATTTGCAGAACTGCCCGAGAGAAAATTTATAGCTTGTCAGCTGCCTAAAGATATCATCTTCCAATGTATTTTTGGGTGACATGGTAGCAACATTCAATAAGACATTAAACAGAAATCCTGTGCAAGCTCTGCCCATGTTCACTGTGATTCTGCTTAAAAGTTAATTTCTCTCTAAATGAAAGAAAGCAAACACATCGTTTGAACATCTGCCCAGGGAAAGACACGTCCTGCTAACAATTACGGAGCAACCGCTGCTCCATCTGGCCCAGTGGGGAAGAAGAGCAGCCCTGGATGGCGCATCCATCCCCTGGGCTCGGGCAGCCCCCATGCACCCTGCGGAGGCACCTCAAGGCACAGGGAAATGCAGCTCCCCTGGGTGCTGCGTGGCCCGACAGACACTGGCATCAGGGACACCTGCAGCACCACTGTGCTGCTCTTTCAAACAAGACACAGTTGAAGGCATAATGTTTACAAGCAGAATCCATTGCATAGCTTCAGTTTTGCTCTTTCCTAGTATATTAAATTTAATTGTGCTGTCCTTACAAGTAATGAAGGGAGCACTAATGGAAGAAAATTGTCGTTTGTTCAAAGGAACAAAAGCGCCAAAACATGAGTATTTCTTGCAAGAAGCTATTCTTGCTGTTAGCCATCCTACATGCTTACAAAATTTGGATTAATGCTAGAGAGAGCTACTGCTATAGTATTACAATCAGTCGTGTCCTTATGTATCCTAAACTGTACTGTTCAGGGACTAATTTTAAATAAATTGACTCCAGTAGAGTTTCAAACGTTATTCTTTCCCTTTAGTCATTGAATTATAGACAATAATATTCATATAATATTCATAATCAATACATTTCATCACTGAGTTTCCAATAAACAGCCCTTGGAAGTGTATTTCTTTCTTGAAAGGTTTATTACACTATCATGTTCAACTTCTAAAACTGTGTTTTTTTTTTTTTTTCCAGGTTTTTCTCTTCCTTGACTGGTAAGTTTATCAAAGAAAATACTTTTTTTTTTTTTTTCATACATGGTCACTTACAACTTTTTATGCCACTTTAAATGATGCTTACTCTAAGCTCTCTTCTGATTTTATTGCTTCCTAATTACTGAATAACAATTAGACATTGAAAAGAAAAAGGGTATCTAGGCTTGCTACCAAGGCAAAAATACCTCCTGGGAATGAAAAACAAGCCACAGCTGCTGCATCTGCTGAATTCTACAGGAAATTAATTTAATCTAGCTACAGGATGGACACTGGGGTAATTAGTGCCAGAGGCCTTTTAAAGCATATACCTAAATCCTCACGAATTATTTTAAGTTTCATTTATCTTTGCCGCTTTCTAGATTTGCGACTTGGTTATAACATGACACTTAACCATTACAAAATCCTTTTACTATGCAAAACTTTTTAGATAGATTTTACACAGGCACCTTGGCATACATTCTCTCAACAACCTAAATTAGTTTGCATGCATCAAGCCTGTAACAACATTGAAAATACAACATACAAAATCTCCCCGAAGTTACAAGGCTAACATGAAAATGTCATTTAAGTTTTGGAAATATGTCCTTTGTTGTTTCCTGAGTGAAAGAATACCTTATCTACAGCAGAAACTATGAGTAATGCATGTATTCCACTGCCAAAGGTTATTCAAACAGGCATAATTTGAAAGTATCCTTTCTAATAAGTCTCCTTTTGAGCTTATCTGACAGGCATGGTACAAAACTCTGTTTTAAATACTCTGAGCTCAGTGAAGTTGCAAGAAAAACAGAACAGAACCTGCACTCCTGGGTTTCTGTTCACAACAGGTTCTGTATGTCTTGGGGGAAATGGAATAGTTGCTGCACTTCCCCAATAGCACAAGGAAGCCCTATGGCTAAGACGTACTTGAACAGTCTAGGTGCAGTTCCTAGACTGTTCCTAGGTGCAGTTCCTAGACAGTTCCTAGGTGGCTCAAGTTCCTGTGCCTATGAAAGACTGAATCTAATTCTTTCCCCCACACAATTTGCAGCTGACTACCTCTACAGGCTATATGACATGGAAGTATATTACTTAAAAACATCTACATCAATTGGACATTCAGAGATTTGGTCTGTATTTATGTATTTCCATTTGATCATTTATCCATTTTTAAAGTAGGCTAAGTTACACAGGTAATTTTTTTTTATTCTTCACAGTCATGCCTAGAGATTGTAGTCGTGTGCCAGGCCTGGGGTGTGCCAGCTGCTGCATGCACATAAACCTGAAAGGACAGTCCCTGCCCCACAGAGCTTACTATATAGGATAGGAGAGAGAAAGTAGAACATAGACAAAAGAAAGTGGCAAGACAGTAAAAGTTAGCAATTTAGGAAGTAGTTATAATGCACTGACATCCTCTATTTATCCTCTATTTTGTATAATAGAGGTATTTATCCTCTATTTTGTAGGCATGGGAAAAAAAAAAGTTTACTGGGATACAAATGAAAATTATGGGGAACTTCGCATTTCTTTAAATGTACAAAACTTCTGAGGTTGTGAGTGGATTTAGGGAGGAAGATGGTTTGTTTGATACAGTACAGTACACAAATCAAAACCATTAGAGAGGTTACTCTTCAGACAGATTACTCCTATACTCAAAGGTACTTCCTTTAAAAAAAAAAATCTCAACAGGAAAGCCACGAGAAGAAGTGAGTTAATGCACAAATTCTGGTACTATGAAACATGGATAGATGATCTTAAAAATACAGCATTTTCCATGGCTGATGTTATGCCTTACTATTCCGTGGCGAGTTACAGTACTGAGAACCAACTCTTTCAGTGTGGTTTGGAAAGCATTTCACATTCACTAGCTACATGTTTAAATGGAAGAATCTCCTGGCATCATCACTGACTTAGACACAGATCCACTTATATACACTCCATTTTTCATGAGGTGCCCACATCAGCCATATAACATTACTTACCAGAGCAGCTTTGCTGATTTTTCTCCGCTGGCTTTTAGCGAGACACGGCTTTGGTTTCCCTAGGGTATACCATTTCCTCTGCAAGTCCCAAGGCACAGCAGAGCAGCTGCTGCCTTTCCTTATATTCCTCTGCTGGCTGTAGGGAGTAATTTTCATGCTTGGTGTGTGTCCTTTTCACTACAACAGAGCCATTCCAGGTAGAACATCTCTCTCTGGCTTGATTAAAAAGTTAGGTTATTTATTTTGCTAGGTATCAAGCCTCATGAAGCAACATTTATATCCCATCAGTGCTGGGAGAACACAGCTCTCTAAGGTATCTGCAGCAAACTTGCAGATCTGGGCGTCAAGCATGATCTATAGGCAAATGACCCTTCAGGCTAGTTCACTCGTTACATTTAAGAACAATAGGCATTTCTGTCCACCTGAGAATGCTGCAGTAGTGAAGGAGAAACTCTGTGAATACTCTGCATTAAGTTAGAGAACACAAATCACTGTCATAATCCTTCTGTACATACGTGCCAATGTTCTGAACTGTAATTCAGCCAAAACTCCCCTGGATATCAGTGGTTGTTGAAGGGAATGTTAACTGTTAAGCTGTTTTACAGTTTTCATCACTAGTTTGGTGTATCAATTCTGTTTCATCTCCATCAATACCAATGTAATTTGACCAGATCTTCAGGAAGCTCCCCAGCAGTTATTGATAGTCCTCATAAAAAATTCTGTTTTATTATATTCCTCTACTGAAACACATGCAGGAGAATTGCCTTCAATCTTCTGCATTTTCAGGACAGGTTTCTGGCAAAGGCAGTATTAGAAACTCCAAACCGTTAGTGATTTCAGCCTAATGGACAGACTGCTCAAGTTTTTGAAATGCTCAGTTGGAAAGAGATTGTAACCTGTAATTTAATGTATCAGCATTACACACAACTTTAATTCTCTGTAGGAATTAAGCAAAGGAATTTAAGCAGCTAGGAATTAACACTCATGGTTACTGCATAACCCATCATATTTTGCTTCTCTGATCCTCTACATAATTCCAAGAAGCCTGCCTAGATAAAAGGCAAGCAAAGAGAACTTGTGAGAAGAGGTAGGACTATGGATGCCTATATCTAATGCACATATCTGGGTATGCACAGTAGGAAGTTAAAATCACCACTGGCCGCCAGGTTCCTTCTTTACCTTGCTGACCTTTATATGGAGATTTTGCAGGGAAGAGCCAATTTAATGAATAGAATGTAAAAGTCTTACACAACAAGAAGGGGCCTACTATGTACAAGTGAGACATAATACAGAATAGATGACATACTCTCCCCTATATTCTCATCCAAGAGGTTGCAAATCCATATTAGATTCTTCATCTGATAAATGAAAAATAGTGGTAGCATCTGCATTTCTTGCACTTGCTCAGAGCATTATTTAAAACAGAAAGATGATTTTTTTCCCCTCAAAAAACACAACTGAAGTTATAGATGATTAAATAACAAAGCTTTGGACTTCATATAACCTGAGCATGGTCTGCTTTCCAGGCACCACAGTCTAATTTCACCCAAGGTAAGATGAGAAATAATTGCATTACTAGAGATGTAAAATACACTGCACATCTGTAGATCAAACTGGAGGGCAGGATGGAAGAAAGGAACAGTTTCATGCAGCTCACACAGGAAGAACGGGGTTATGATAAATACACTTGCTACCACCCTAATGAATAGGGCTGTCCAGCTTAACAGAGCCAGGATTTTCTGGCTACAGCACTTCCAGCCCCTACAAGTGGACAGTTCATTATACCAATTACCAACTTCTCAGGTTAGCAATGATAGAAAGAATGTGTTCGTCACACTAATAAGTTCTTCCTACACCCAATAGACATAAATCTTCAAATTTAAGTCAATTTTGAATGCAAAAGTACAAAAAGATAAACCTGCTAGGGAACCTAAATGCAGTATGAAAAAGGACAAGCTACTCTCTGACCGTTATATTACAACTTGCTAATATCCTATTTTAACTCCCTGTATTGATTTGCTGTAATCATCACCCTCTCACTTTATAATCAGTCAAGGTTATACAGTGGAAATTCATTCTGTAATTAATGCTATATTGTGGAAATTTATGAGATTGCCAAATTTAGAATGATGATTTATACTACAGGAAAATGTCTGCAAGTGAACATTATCAGCCCAACTGTCATCCAAATCTCTGAATCACATCTTAATTCTGATTTTCCCCTAAAATACTCTTTGCTTTGCTTTGTTTTTTTTTTTCCCTAATATTTTGAAGGGAGGGGATGTCAAGGGTTCAAAAATGTAAACCAGGATAGATTTAATCGTGCCAGTTAAAAGCACCTCATCCATCAGCATCAAGCAAAGCTGACATACGCGCTTGTGTTAACATACAGGTAACTTCTAACAAAACTAACAAAAAGTATAAATGATTGTTTAAATGTAACTGTATCAGATGCATATTTCTTCATTTGAGATATATCAAACTGAGAAATATTTAAAGCAAGTTTTTAAAGATATTTTCCTTTTAATGTGTATTTCAACCTTGGCAAGATCTGGGAAACCAACCAAAAGAACTAAATACTTTTATTTATACAGTGATACACTGCCAACAAGTGTTGGCTCTGAAGGCCAGAAAGTCAAGTTCCAATCTTCTGAGCAAAATCCACAATAGAAAGCAATACCATCACTTCACATTTTCTGGGAACAGCCTGTCTTTTTGCTACCCACTTGTATCTCTCTGCCAGCTTCTCCCACACCATAATGACCTGCCAGCTACTGCAGCCTATTCATCATTTAATAAAGTCTTGCAGTGTTAGGTCTTGCATTATTTAGCTTGATATTTTTGAAGCCTCATTAACAAAGTTAATGCCATTAGTGAAAGATTTAGTCCTGGAAAGATTTAGTCCATAGGAAGGAAAGACTGAGCTGTTGTACCATGTAGCAATTTCGCAAGTGGTATTAGCTACATCATCCAGAGTACTTCCACACTAGTACAGCTATGTTTAATGTTACATATTTGTCAGCATTAAAAGAAAGTATAATTAA